ACTAATAAGCTGTTTTATCCGGACTACTGCTTCTCATCTAGGAACCTCAAAGTGTGTTCGCGACGCAGAGACCGCGATTGGCTTTAGGGAATCTTCTGAACTCTTCACGTTTAGCCCTTGGTCAATTCTACTCTCGAACACGACGACCTCGATTTCCAGCTTACCTACACTGCATTCCGTAGGGATAGCCAGACGATGGGGTTTGCGTCTGCCCATCTCTGCAGATTTCTGGAAGTAATATGACCATTCAGTTTTGTTTTTGAGCTCCAGCCTAAGATCCTCTGAGTCGGTATCCCGGTGTGTGGTGGTATAAAACTTCAGGAGGGGAATGAGATGACGGTGGTCGTGTAGCTGGAGGTGGTGGCGGTGATGGGGGAGGAGAAGGAGAAGTGGAGGAGGAGCAAGAATAAGAAGAAGAAGATGATGATGAAGAAGAAGAAGAAGAGGGGTGGGGAGAAGAATAAGATGGAGGAGGAGGAAGTTATTTTGAATTTCACCCCAATCGCCCGTAGGCAACCGGCAGGTCCACGACACGGCGCCAATACTCACTCAAACGCGTGTGCACGCGATGATCCGATCGCCGCGAGTGGCGGGGTCCACCAACATCCAAGTCTAACGCACAATCAACCTCACCCCATACACGCGTATTCAAAAGGCCATGGGCGCGGTGAATTACAGGCCTGATCAGCCCGTCTACGCGTGTGGAACAGAACAACAGCTACTGACTTTACACATATCAGATTTCATCGGAAGTCTGCCTCAGAATTCACGCAGTGGCGGTACGATGAAGACCAAGTTAGGAAGGAATCCCTGCAGGCTGACCATCAGTACTGATAAGAAACGAACCATTCCGCCATTTAGCGATCTCCTAAGACAAGACTGTTGACGTATCGTGATAGTTACAAAGGTCGTTTTCTGTTTGTGAAGAAGAACCACGCGCTGCCCCGACCACACTTCCCATACACTAGTGATCTATGCGAGTTAACCCGAATGAGCTTGGACGTAGTGTCCGACATTACAAAGCTTGTGTGTTGTATATGATGTGGATGCTCATGCGACATCTGAGTGTGCTGGGACGGTGTGGACAGGTCAGACGGACACGAACCATGTTGGCCGATAAGTGCTGGTCTGGCTGACCGACTGTCCTATAACAGAACAATTGATGACCAGCCAGGCCCTTATATTA